CGGAAGTAAAGGGCTGAATTTGAAATCTTTATATCGCACTTGGGCTGGGAACATTCCCTTAAAATTTCAGCCGCGCAACTTCCCTGGTTCCAGAGTTAGCGATTTTCCCGCCGAAACTTTCAAGTGCTCGTACTCGGGGCCCAGCTACACAGATAGAAAAACTATACTGTAAATTAACAGCTATTCCAGGTATGAGCTAGCGGTGTTTACATAACTCCATACAATCGTACAATTAATCCAGTGCCATACTATAATACTGGACAAGTTGAACTGCAAGGCCTGCTAAAACAACCTTTCACAAATAAAACACAAATTTTACCTTTTCCTTCTTTTTTCGATGATATTTTTGATATTTGAAATAATCACGATCATATCGTTTCCTACGCTTATGCTTTATCATTTTGTGTCTTCGAATTTTCAGCATACGTGGACCAACAAATTTCTCGATTGGCGGTGAATGCTGGGGAGCTTTCAAGGGAACCTATAACGTTTATGAAGATAAAAAAAAGCTTTTTGGAGAGGAAATTAATTTAAAAAAAAACCAATACTATTCAAATCAGCACAAGAAGCCCATGAAATCCACCAGAGATACTCCCAAATATCAGGCATAGCTGTGCCAGGGCATTCGATTTTCGATTTTATATCTCCGTCAAAATCGAGGTTACTCACCCGAAATTCCGGAAGCGGATCAAATTTTTCCAAAATTTCGTTCACCAGCAAACTGGGCACACGAAGTGGCTGTCGATTCGCGCTCGGGAAGGTGAAAACCTGAAAAAAAACCGAAAATAACCAAAATTATGTTTTTTTTTCTTTTTTTTAAAATGATAACAAAAAAAGATCAAAAACAATGCAAGTACCATTGGTTTTTGTCGGGCTGGTAATTGCCATGGTGTTTTCTGTAGAGTTATGGCCAAATAAGGGAAACTTTCAACGCGTCCATAGCTTTTACATTGTAACAATTGGGGATGATAACTGTTGTTGACTTCTTTTAATCGTTGACTCACACCTGTAACATGAATAATAATAGCAGTAATAATAATAGCAACAATAATCGAAATAATAATAATCTTAATACCAAGAGCAACAATAATAATGATAGCGATAATAATAATGACAATAATAATTATAACGATTATAATAATAACAACAACAATAACAGTGACAACTATTTGGCAATAATAGCTATACAAATTCATAAATATGAGAAATTTTGATTCAGACAATCTTAGTGGGGCGCCAAAGCATTAGATAATGTCCAGATACAGCGAGGTACAAATCCTGACAGTTTCACAGGCGGATTCGGGACGGACTTTTGGGGACGGAAGGTAGGAAAGGGAGCCCCCTACTCCCCCC